CCCAGGAGTCTGAGGTTGCTGTTGGGCTATGATGCCATGCGACTGTACCCAGGGCGACAAAGTGAGATGGTCTCAAAAAAAAAAAAAAAAAAAAACCATAGCAGTGAATTATAAACTAAAATACAGTCTCTTGCCAATTATATTCAAAACCTAAGTCCCACTCAACATACTATTACATAGTAACATTAGCACAAGAAATTCCTAAAATAATACAAAGCACAAAATCATATTTACCTTTGTGTGAACAGTGAATTTTACTTTATCTCTCTCACTAAGAGCATCAGAAATATCCACCTGCAGAGCAGCATCACTTTGAAGATCCACATTTATTGCTTTAAGCTAGAAAAAGAAAATAATATCTTAAAAATTTTGTATGCTTTTATATAATTTCTTTCTTCTCTCCAATAAGACAATGCAAATATCAAACCAAACCAACAAAAGACTCAGGTCTAAAAAGGTGGTCCGGGGCAGCGCCTGTGGCTCAGTGAATAGGGCGCCGGCCCCATATACCAAGGGTGGTGGGTTTGAACCCGGCTCCAGCAAAACTGCAACAAAAAAATAGCTGGCTGTTGTGCTGGGCACCTGTAGTCCCAGCTACTTAGAAGGCTGAGGCAAGAGAATCACCTAGCCCAGGAGTTGAAGGTTGCTGTGAGCTGTGACAGCACAGCACTCTACCAAGGGTGACAAAATGAAATTCTGTCTCTAAAAAAAAACAAAAATAGTCCAATTAATTTAATCTCCATATATATATATTTTGGTGCAGGTGCTTTGTATAATGCTAGTATCATAACCAATTTTCATTCTACCCCATTCAATTATAATCTGCTTTATATAAGTCACAGAGCTAACCATAATTCATTATAGTTCCATCCAAAATGAAAACTATCTTCTAAGAAGATGGTGCATTAAAGCTTAATGTTCTAAAATTAAGGAATGAGTCTCAGGCATGGTGGCTCATGCCTATAATCCTAGCACAAAAAATTTAAAAATTAGCCCAGACTGGTAGCACATGCCTATAGTCTCAGCTACTTGGGAGGATGATGCAGGCCATCACTTGAGCCCAGGAGTTTGAGGTTGCAGGAGTTGTGATGATACCACATTGCACTTTAGCCTAGGCAACAGAGTGAGACCCTATCTCCAAAAAATAAAAAATAAAAACAAGAAAAGAAAGAAAAAGAATTTTGAGCAATAATTTTATATCTATTGCTTCTTTCAATTCAGGAATATACAATGAAACTATTAAATATAGTTAAATATATTACATATATGTAAATTACTAAGAAAAATACTAATATAGTAAGTACTCAATAAATAACCCTACAAGCTACAATACAGTGAAGAACTAGATATGTTTCCTATTCAGTGCTTCCATTTACTTATCTATGAGAAGACTTTTCCACTTATAATTTTTAAATTTCATCTTTTTTTTGATACAGGGTCTTGCTCTGTCATCCAGAATGGAGTATAGTGGCACAGTCACAGCTCATCATGGCAACCTCCAACTCCAGAGCTCAAGCTATTCTCCCAGCAGGGACTACAGGCACATGACACCATGCTCAGCTAATTTTCAAGTTTTTTGTATGATGGGGTCTTGCTATATAGCTCAAACTCCTGGCCTCAAGCAGTCCTCCCACAGTGCTGGGATTATAGAAATGAGCCACCATATCCCACTCATTTTTTTCCCAAACAATAACTATTGAAAAATGGATAATTTTAAGACTTACAAAAGAGTCAAATACACTAAAAGATAAAGTCTTAAACAGCTACAAAAATATAAAATATTTAAAGTCTAATTAGCCTGTTTCAAATATAGTACTCTAGTTGTAAATCCAGGACTTTGGAAATCTCACCTATTCATGAGTACTTCAAATTTTAATTACAATATAAATGAGAAAAAAGCCAGATACAAAACTGTTTATACTCAGTGATCTCAATTACATGTTTAAAAATAGAGACAAAAGCCTTGTAAGAAATACACCAAAACGTAAAAAATGGATTTTCTTTATATATTCCCTTATTTTCCCAATTTTCCGCTATATGCATGTAGTACTTTCATAAGTAGGAGAAAAGTCTTGTGAAATCAAACAATTTTATAGTTTCTTATTAAATAGGGTTAACTTTACTAGTAATAAAAATGTTAACTCACATTCATTTCATTTTGTAATTGGTTTATAATTGAATAAACATGCTTTAAAAAAAATAAACACTCCTAGCACTTGAGAGGCCAAGGCAGGTGGAGTGCATGAGCTCATAGGTTTGAGACCAGCTTGAGCCAGAGCAAGACCCCATCTCTAAAAATAGATGAGTGATGTGTGGGCACCTGTAGTCACAGCTACTAGGGAGGCTGAGGCAAGAGAATCCCTTGAGCCCAAGAGTTTGAAGTTGTTGTAAGTTATGCACAATGGCACTCTAGTGAGGGCAACAAAGTGAGACTCTGTCTCCAAAAAAAAGGTAAGAAAATAAACCCATTACATAAAATACAACCAAAGATTCAAAAAACCAATTAATCACTTTACTTTGGTATAGTGCATGTGATGGCCTTCAACAAAAATTTTACTGATTAATAAGTTTATATTAAATTTCAATCAGTAACATATTTTTAAACACTTATACCCTAAACTTACACATAAAAACATTTTCTTTTTTATTTTTATTTATTTATTTTTTTGAGACAGAGCCTCAAGCTGTCCCCCTGGGTAGAGTGCCGATGCATCATAGCTCACAGCAACCTCCAACTCCTGGGCTCAAGCGAATCTTCTGCCTCAGCCTCCCAAATAGCTGGGACCACAGGTGCCCACCACAATGCCCAGCTATTTTTTGTTTGCAGCTGTCATTGTTGCTTGGCGGGCCTGGGCTGGATTTGAACCCGCCACCTTAGGTATATGTGGCTGGCACCTTAGCCGCTTGAGCTATAGGCGCCGAGCCACATTTTTTTTTTTTAAAGACAGGACATCATTCTGTTGCCTGGCCTACAGTGCAGTGGTGTTATCATAGCTCAATGCAACCTCAACTGCTGGACTCAAGCGAGCCTCCAGCCTCACCCTCCTGAGTAGCTAGGACTATAGGCACATGCCATCATGCTAGGTAATTTTTCTGTTGTTTGTAGATACAGGGTCTTGCTATGTTGTATAGGCTGATTATGAATAAAAACAACTTAAAATGTTTACTGTGCTCAATGCTACACGTAGCACACTGTAAGATTAAAAAAATTAAAAATTGCCTTAAATAACAAATGTTTCATTTTCATTTTCCAACTATCTCATTGCTTTTGCAATATTGGAAACACTAGAGAATGTTCTTCTTTGGTTTTCTTGCTTCTATTTAGTCTTATCAGTCTTCATATTGTCCTTCCTACCTCTTCGAATTCCCTACCTTAATCCTAGTTCAAGAAATGTTTCTTCCTTTCTCTTCATTCAGCAGATTCAGCCTGCTTTTAAGATGTTTATTGTGGCTGGCCAAATAATGGCTCTCCAAAAGATAACTACATCCAAATCCCTGGAACCTGTAAATGTTACCTTATATGGCAAAAAAGGACTTTGCAGATGTGCTTCAATTAAAGATTTTGAGATGGATTATAGAGGTAGGCCTTTATATTTGAAGAAACGTTTGTATCTTTTTGATACAAATGTACTTCAATTAAAGATTTTGAGATGGATTATAGAGGTAGGCCTTTATATTTGAAGAAACATTTGTATCTTTTTTTTCTTTTTTTTGAGACAGAGTCTCACTGTAGCCCTTGATAGAGTGCTGTGATGTCATAGCTCACAGCAACCTCAAACTCTTGGGCTTCAGCCATTCTCTTGCCTCAGCCTCCCAAGTAGGTGAGACTACAGGCACCTGCCACAATACCCGGCTATTTTTTTGTTGTAGCTGTCATTGTAGTTCAGCAGGCCTGGGCCAGGCTTGAACACACAGGCCTCGGTCTATGTGGCTGGCGTCCTAATCACTGAGCTACGGGCACTAAGCCCAAACATTTCTATCTTTATAAAAGGCAAAAATCTGACACAGACAAAATATTCTAATAACTAGTGAGAAGACAATGTGACTATGGCAGCAGACATTAAAACAATGCAGCCACAAACCAAGCATTGCTGTCAGTCATTAAAAGCTGAAAGAGGCAAGGAATTCTTCCTTATAGCCTCTGAAGCAGTCATGGCTCTGCCAGCTGACACCTTCATTCCAGCTCAAGGATCCTGATTTCTGACTTCTGGCCTCCAGAACTTGAGAAAATAAATTTCTGTTGTTTTATGCTACCAAGTTTATGGCTTACAGCAGCCACAGGAAACTAGCACATTTATCATATAGTTTTTGAACCTAACACATAGCAACCTCAAATTCCTGGGTTCAAGGGATCCTCCTGCCTCACCCTCCTATGTAGCTGGGACTATAGGCACCAACCACCTTGCCTGGCTGGTTTTTCTATTTAGTAGAGACGTGGTCTCACTCTTGCTCATGCTGGTCTTAAACTCCTGAGTTCAAACAACTGTCTTACCTCAGCCTCCCAGAGTGCTAGGATTACAGCATGAGTAGTTGACTTTTTTGATTACAATTTTTTTTTTTTTTTTTAAGACAGTCTCACTACATTGTCTGGGTACAGTGCCGTGGCGTCACAGCTCATAGCAACCTCAAGCTCTTGGGCTTAAGTGATTCTCTTGCCTCAGCCTCCCAAGTAGCTGGGACTACAGTCGCCACCACAATGCCCAGCTATTTGTTGTTGTTGTTGTTGCAGTTGTCTTTGTTGTTTTAGCTGGCCCAGGTCAGGTTCAAACCCTCCAGCCAAATGTTTATGGCTGCCACCCTACCCTCTGAGCTGTGGGTGCCACCCACAAACATTTAATTAACTTTCTGTAACTACAGAGTTCAAAACGTTTAAGAAAATTTCTAACTAGATTATATTCAGTGGTTTAATCTTTATCTGGGCCAGTGAACTCTGTACTTTCTTTTGTTAGAGACTAACTAGGTTAAATATTTGTGTCACTGGGCAAGAGAAAGGCTAGGATAAAGAATGTGAATTCAGCAATACAAATACAATTACTATTAGAAAAATAATTTAATGACCCTGACCTGCTGCTGCTAGTTTAATTCACCATATATACTTACAAAAGAAGACATTCATGACTAGTTACTAAGCTGACTAGTTTACCATAAAGAATCTAGCTTAGAACATTCCTAAAAAAAAATCAGTTATTTATCTTTGCCAGAAAAGATAATGTATAGAGATAGATGGGTATACAGGAAAAAGAGGAAGGAGGAAATAAGAAAAAAAAAACTGATTATTTCAATATCCTCACAACTGGTCTCATTTCTTCCCTTGCCACTCTTAAATCTATTCCCTACAG